TTCCAGACAAGGACCGACGATTGAACATTGCGCAACAACATTGCGACGAAGTCGTGTGTTTTTACTCATGTTGAAAGAGACACTCCCGATATATGTCACTTATCTCTCGTAAATACCTGCCATTTTTTATACGAGCCTCAATCATGTTAGATATACTGAAATTTAACGAGATATTAATGTCTTTGTTTATTATATTGTACGTTAGATAAGCCGGTTATTCATTGTTTATTCCGGTAGTATAAATATCTGTAACAGTTTATAGCATCGATATAACGAAAAATATTAATAAATTAATATTAGGTTATAATTAAATTAATAATCATTTATATCAAATTATATCATATAATATTCATCACATATCAAATGAGATTCGCGTAGAAAACATTTTATTTTTTCTACTCTATAAAATCACTTTTATTCAACGCTGATTGTGAAAAACGATCGTCTAGTTATCTGAGAGATTAGATGTTGATACTGCGATATTGTGAAAAATTGAATATGTCGTGAGTACTCCATATTTTTTCACGCATGCATGGAACGTGCGAAACACAGTACGGCTATCGGTGAAACCGCGGCGTGATAAGGTAGCTGCTATCGCAACCGGCGACGATGAAACCGGAGGTAGCACGAGCCCTACCGTCCACGCGAGAACATCGTCGGCTTCCTTTCCGCATGGCCACACAACGCGGGACTCGTTATCGACGAGAGCTACCGCTCGTCAAACTCTCGAGACTCTTGGGAGACTTCGCAATCAAACGTATCTTGGGATTCGCGCATCCGGAGCTCTCGCTGATTGCGGATTAACAATTAATTTCTTCCCGTTTGAAATTTACAGCTCTCTTGCAAAAAATTTACGGTATCCATAAAGTGTCATTAATATTCCTAAACATGATGTTCTCGCGTTTTATTATCTCGTTCGTTATTGCGGTCTGTTTCGGTAAGGATCGTGTGAATTTCTCTCTGCCTTGCGTACAATTGCGATAGCTATCGAGGGAAAACGATGATATTCAAATATTATTATAGCTTACAGGAATAATAAAAAGGGATTTTAATAAAACAAACATTTGTTGCTTTTCGCATCCGATAAAAATAGCATAATAATAGTTATTAAAGTAGATTGATAAAGTAAGTGGAAAGTACAAATGAGCTCTTGATACTTTAATGACAACTTTGCGTCGCATTTCCGTGGTGGTTAAAGCTCGGTTTCAATTTTCCAATGATTTTTTTCCAACTGGGAGCCGCACATAAACGAGTTTACGCGCGCACGTGCTAATCCGGTCGTCGATAATAGCGATCGATACACAGGAATAGATGCATCGTGAAAGTAAGATCTGTGAGGCAAATTGAGGAGGTATAATGTTATTTTCGCTGGCACGAGTATGGCAGGCGGATCTCTTCTTTTTCTTCTTCTTCGCGGTAAATCAACCTTTAAAGAGCACATAGTCGCGACGCGATTTCGCAAAATGTGAAAACGAAGCTTTCCGCGCGTCCCGCGTTCTTCCCCTCTTCTGTCAAACGCGCGATCGTTGACAGGTCTCTCTTTATTAAACGACTCTGAGACAATCAATATTTATTGTCGATACTCGGATATCTACGGTACCTTTCCATTTCGTCGATTGACAAATAGAACTCGACTTTCTCTCGAGAAAAATTCGATTACGTCTTACTATTATATTTCGCATTCAACTTTGCATTCAAATATTTCTTGTCATATCAAAAATTAAAATTATATTTAAGCTACATTTTAAATTAATTATACGGTTAGAATGCAGTTTGAATAAACGTTAAAAATAGAGTACAGTTATTAAGATAAGCGTTAAAAGAGGAAGAATAATCGAAGAATGAAAGTCTCGTTATATTCGTCTATATATTTTTTTAATCGTACTTAAATCACGCATATCCGTGCAATCTTGCAAATAAAGGATGATTGACGTTTCGATAATCTCGTTAAGAACGATTTTCCTGAAAGTTTCCGTAGCACACGCGACGTGGAATAGTATCACTGCTTTATTTGCCATGCGTAAGTTCATCGACCGGCCGCACGGAAAATGTTTTTGCGCTTGCGCTTGCTATTATTGTAACGGTGTAGAAAATTAGTCACGATGCCATGGCCTGCAGAAGAACACTGTCGAGCACGCGCTCGGTGCAGCATACTTGCCATAGTGCGACACGCAATCTTAGAATTCAAATTATGATCGATTGCGATGCTACAATTTATTCTCGTTTAGCCTCAAGCCATAAATATCGATCGATTGCCGAGGGAATGGATATGGATAATTTGTGACGAATTTTATTATCATAAAATTGATTTATTCTAATGAACCTATCAGACGTAGAGTAATTTTTCACAGATGGAACTGAAAGATATCTTAATCCAAGTGTTGTAAGAAAATTGCATCACGAATCTCTCAGACACATGAAAATTGCAAATCTGACGGATAATCTGTATTCTTTCCACTTTCCGTTATATTGTTTGTATATTTATCATCTCTTCTCGATATCCGAAAATGTTTAATATTTACATATGCAAAACACTTGCGAGATTAAATAAATCAGTATCGCTCTAGATATAAGGATAACTTTTACGTAAAAAAAATTCCGGTCACGAATCAAATTTCCATCACTTTTCATCGAGAGATCTATAAGAAAAATTACTGAGTCCTCTGTATTTAATTTCACGGTTCAATTTTTTATGACGTGTTAATTTTGGAAAACATGTTTCAGAATCGATTCAATTAAAAAATCGGTTTTCCAATGCTTTTTCTCCTGATATTTCTGCCAATTGAGCCATCGCGAATATCCTTTAAACAGAGGATAATTGCAGGAAAGGTTACATTGTATGTATACCAACGTTGCGTGACTAGATCTTTAAAGCGCGTCGCGCTCTTTACGGTAAAGCCGGCTCGTTCCTATTCAGACGAGAACGATTAAGGTGAGGGCACGTTGATGACATGCACGGATTGCGGAACGTGTCGCAGGTATCTTCTTAGAATTGCACGCGTTACCGATCGCCGCGATTATCGCGATTTGTATTCACCACCCATTCGTCCGATCCGTAATTGTAACTTTCCTGTTGTTACGCGACCGCGAGATATTCCTCGCATACGTCGATAAATCCCACGTTTCATGGATCACGCTAATCTTATCGCGTACGCCACACAAACGGAACTGTACCTTCTCGGTCAAGATTTTAGACTCGAGACTTTATACGACGAATATATCGAGTCAGATGAGCGATTTTAGAAGTTGGAAAAAATCCCCGAGAGTTGCTTTCTACTTTTTCTGAGTATTTTAACGTTTCAAAGTCTTGAAAATTTTTATATTTGACAAATAGCACTTGTCATAAATTTATCATTAACTATACGAAATATTAGCCGATATTTGATATGTGAAATTTCTATGATCCTTGGCTACGTATTCGTTGGCTGACGTATAGAAAGTTTCAAGGACTCGGCATACAAGAGCGTTTCTATAGACTCGAAAAATTCGCGAATCAACGGGCTATTAGCATGTTTGACAGAATCGCTCGACAACAATTACGATACTAATCTTACCGCGAGATTCCTCCTCCTCGAGCAAAACATGCGTTAATTAACGTGAAAGTCGCTCCGATCGAAGCGCTCTAATTCTCTTGAAAGAAACATAAAAACAATTTTAGAAATATATTAAGATTTCAAGTTTCTTTTATCGTCTGGTATAGAAAAAGCCACGGGGGAAGCGTTACTAAAGAAAGCGGAAGATCAGGAGAGGTAGGAGATACGGCGACATTCCCCTAAATCACAATGTTCCATCACGTGTGAGTGAGCTCGTGCGAGTTGGGGCCCGACCAGTGTGACCGAGGGCCTTGTGAGTTCAAAGGTTATCTTACGTCATGGGAATGTTTGACGAGGCCTATACATACCGGTGTTGAATTTCATGTTGAGTTACGTGAAACCTCATACGGTATTGTTTAGGCGTGAACAACTGCGTGTTCCGTCAAATTTCTCGATTAATCTCTCGCGAATGTCATCGGGTTACATGTACATCTATTTTCTTCAAAATTTTCAGAGAGAATACGGGATAGACGTTTGAACTTTCTTGAGAAACGTGTTGGGAAGGTCGGATTAAATAATTCTTTTTAGCTATCAATTCCAGTATTCGAGATAATAATAATGCGATAATAAGAATTAATTGATCCCCGATAAATTGTCAGTTGCGAATATGTCATTTTGCAATTTAATTACGGTGTATTCTACATATATGCTCTATTGCGACTCTATTTGTAACGCTATCGTGCAATTTCTAATAGAAGTTCGAGCGCCATGTTATTTTGCACGAGTACACCTGTAAATTTCTACGCATACGCAGCAAATTAATTTCCAGTACATTTTCATTTATACAACGCACACTACTTTCACTATTGCACAGCGCATTTCGCAGATACTCGGTTTATAAGCAGTATTATATATTATACTTATATTTTGCGAAAAACGTCAAATAAATTTATACACCGTGAGAGCTCTCGATTGCACAATACAAGTAATTTGCATGCGTGTGAGTTTTAGAAATTAATTAAAAAGTCATTGACTGCCCTATTGACATAATTAACAATAAGGTGATCAGATGCAGTTGTGTAAGACCAAGAAAATTAGATTATATATATATAACTTTATCTTTAATCTTCAATCATATGCCTTGCGATATCTCACGAGCATAAGTCACATAAGCATCTAATAAAAGTCAAATTAATTTTTCACGTCGCTCACATAATCACTTCATTTAATAATTAGATATCTGAATATTTTATAACTATTTTTAAATATAATTGTTTAAAATATAAAACTTTTTAATATAAAAAATTTAATATAAATTTAAAATATAAATTAATTTAATATAAATTTAAAATATAAATATTTAATTTAATATAAATTTAAAAATTTTTAATATAAAAAAAATTTAATATAAATTTAAAATATAAAGAATATTTGTTTTTAACAAAGAACCTTCTACTTCTGTTTCAGGATTCATCAACTGCAATACCGCCAACACTCTGCAGTCACTCGCGCAGTTACATGGTGGTGAGTGAAAAACTAGTTAATCCCTCTTCTTCCCTTTCTTCATATCCGTCGTTCGGGAGCGCGTTACGTTTGTATTGCCAGATTATCGCCGAGGGGGAATAAGATTCGGCAGGAGAACCCGCGCGGCGCGGATTCAATTAAAATCTGCAGTTACGTAATGTGTCTGTACACACGACTTCCTGGCGCGACGACGGCAACCGCGGCCCTCCTCCGCGACGTTCACTTCCTCTTTCTTCATCGTAATCACTATATCGGGGAGGGAAGTTCTCCGGCCGCAACCGGTATTTTATCCTCCCAGAATGCTCGGCTGCGGCGAAATTCCTGTTTTCAGTTCGGCGCAAGCGTCTCCTGAAATTTCATGATCCTTCAGCGAGAAGGATCCGTCGCGTTTTTCTGCTCGCAAAAACAAACCAAAGTTTGATCCAACTTGTAGTCTGATATATTCATAAGTCCGCTAATCATTACGTAAGACGCTAATCTGACTCATTTTCTCGTTGTCGATCAACCGTGAAAACACAAAAACATATTGCATTATCGTTTTTAATAACATCTGTTTGTATTTGAATCTGTGGCGTTTGTGTGCACGTGGTGTTTAAATAATATCTACGTTTTATACGGATGCTTGAATATCCGCGAAAGATAGGATCGTTGCACGAAAAGATTGTTATCCGAAAAAATACCTCCGACCGATCGTTTCGGTTCTTACCGCGATATCCCGCTGACGTGTTTCGCTAGAGAAAATATGCGCGCGGAGAACGAATTTTCTTAAACAGATTGCGTTACCTCCGGGAGAGGGATCGGAGAGGGAGGGGGGAGGAAGGGCTGATAAATATACATCGGGCACTTTAATTAAATCTCGTAATGTGTGTCGCTCGCTCGTGTCGTTGATCTTGAGCGCCGCGCGCACCCAGACTCTCTCGGCTCGTAAAGATGTCCTCGTGTAATTTCTCCTCGAGGTGTGTTGGTCATTAACACCACAAAGGCTTATACCGGGAAGAAGCAGCCGCGCGCGAGTGCAAGAATTTATTTTTGTGACGTCGCGAATCCAAAAGTAGCTGTCACGCTTCTCGTACTTATGGACGAGTCGCAGGCGTTTCGAATTTCATTCTCCGGTCTAAGGGAATGTCAAATCCGCATAAAACTCTGCGGGTGTACATACGTGTGGTCGTATAACGTATAACGCGACACGCTTAGCTTTTTATTGACCGACTTTTAAGAAACTTTTTATGTCTTCGTGAGCTCTTAAAAACTTTGGCGATATCAGTTTCAAGGCATTAAAAGCCAAGAATAGGAAATGTATGAGAAGATTTACAAAGCAAACATTTTCAATTTGTCTACGTTATAATAATCGTTAAAGTTTGTAAAAACAATCGCTCGAGAAAAGATAATGGTGTTTTAATTATATTTTCTGATGTACAGATAATGAATTTTTATGCATCTTGAAAATCTTTTATTATTGTAATATATTATAATATATAATATGTAATATGTAATATATTATAATATATAAATAATATAATATATATAATAAATATATATAAATATATATAAAATATATATAATAATAAATATATAATATATATAATAAATAATATTTTAGCATACAGATTATTGAAATTTATATTTAATACTTATTATTAATACTATTAATATTTATATACTTAATACTTATTCGGTATATCGCAAAGGCATTTGTGTTTTTTTTTTATAGTTCATTACCGATGCATCGGAGCGCGTTGACACGTATCCGAGAAATCTTGTCTTTTAGGGTCGAAATTAATCGAGTTCGTGTCACGGTCGTATCGTCACTTTACGTTGACATAAGCGAGCAAAAAACACACATATCCAGTATTTCGAACAGAAATTTTTCGCTCGGCATGAGACACAAACGCGATAGAGGTTAATTAACTCTCCACCACAGCACTTTGGGAGCCGAAATAAACCGTTGATAAGCCCGCATTGTTACGTGCTGCGTATAATTTGGTTATCGTGCATACGATTTTAGCAACACAGGCCGAATGAGATTTTCATTACATTTTACACCGATTGTGCTAACGCAGAGAATGGATGAACATTTTATTGTCGCGTCGAATCGTGTTACGTGAATGCGATAATTAATCATCACCTCCGTCGAATCGTGCTCTACAATTCTTGGAGGAAAAAGGGTGTCGGAGTATCAATCAACTTTTCTTTCGGTTTATCATAATTATCGTAATGCTAGGTCTCTCGAACAAGACTGTTGACTGTCATAACTATACATATTCTTATCTTAATTTCTCGGTAATGTTACGTAGATAAATACACGTGCACGTGTCTACGATACGCGTGTATAAATATTCCATAAGCTACGACGCGTAACATGTTTATTATACGTGCGAGAGAGAAGGAGAGAGAGGGAGAACTCACGTTCCTCGCGCATACATAATACGTTACGAGCGCGTTGCACGTTAAGTCGCCTCGCTACCTGTATAACCGACTACATTATCATATATATTGATCCAACCTAGAAAACGCGCCCGTAGTATCGCCAGACGTTCTCCTTCTCGGCGCTTTTTGACAATGTCGTCACCGGTTACACTCCTCGGCTTTTTTTTACGGTCCGCGAAGTTCGCCTCGCTTTTCTGTGTGTCGCGTTCTCTGACTCGACATTAAATATAATACACGTCGGTCCTATTTGTCACAGAGTTCCTATGACAAAAGTACCGTTCCTACGCACAATGCAATTAAAAACCGTAACTTTTATCCTAGAATCACGTTATTTTTCACTATACTATAAGCGTGGACATTGGCGTCTACCATGTACGAAATACGCAAAGTTGCAAATCTATTATTTTTTGTACGCTTATAAAAATATTTCCCTCCATACGTATTGTGAAAGAAAGAGACTTGTTTTTTTTTAATTCGTTGCATCGTAAATTTTTTTCGCACACGATCCGTGATTTTTTCTATTTTGATCGAGTCCTGTTATCGTATATTTATATATTAATAGCATTATATCGGACGATACACACATGCTCCCCGAGAGCTAATGAAAGACACGTGTTGTGTTATCGAGTAGTAAAAATGGCACGTCGGTCAAGTGTTAAAAGTGAAATGTTAAAATCACTGCGAATACGAGCGGAGTCTTCCTTCTCTAGGCGCGAATACACGCGTGCTAAAAGAATTTCGCTGATGACATCGCGTTTCGCAGGTGCAGCGCAAATTCCTGTCGCCGCAGATGGTTGCATAATTCGCGATTCGCGTCCGGTTTTAAACCGGAGAGCTTTGCATTGCGTTGAAAAAAAAATGTCAAAATAATTTTTATTAAGTACTTTTTTTCCATAAATTTGCGCAGGGAGACGAGTGCGAGGATGAAAAGTGCGATGTAGACACGAGAAATCATTGCTTGCGAGAAATCATTTATTATACGAAGGGAACGTCGCGACGGAGAATCTATATTCGCAAATGTGATTGGCATACGAGGAAACTCAATTAGTATCACGGTACCAAGAATGATTTCCGATGCAATTTGTAATCGCAATAAAAGCTGTTATAAGCTCTACGAGATACGGAAACTTTCAATCTACAGCGAGACGTTGCGACTACTCGTTTATGTTAATCGTCCTTTATGCTCGCTGAGACATGAATTTCAATCTAAGCGAACCCGAATATTAATGCGCGCCCATAAATAAACATTACGTGTGCATTATTTCGAGATTCCGCGTGTATATATTCGTCAAAAAATTGATGCAATCGAAATGTGACATTCTCGAGAAAATAAAATTTGGATATTTTTTACAAAATTCCCGCGACAATTGGGATATATAATTGCATAATAATACAACCATAATTCTACAAGACATCATGAAATCATTTTGGTTTAGGGAGAAGATCACACACGCTCATCAATCATGCGCAAAATTTTTTAATATTAAATATTAAATATTATATATTTAATATTGAATATTAAATATATAATATTTAATATTGAATATTAAAAAATATTAAATATTTTTGATTTTTAAATTAAGATTCGAGTTGGAATACATTCTTGGTACCAGGTGGAGTTATATGTATGTCGGATGGAAAATTCAAGTCATCCCGCGAATCTATCGTCGTGACGTTCTTTTCGTTCTACCGTACGATAGCGACGTTATCGTCCTCTTTCGTGTGTTCCTTGGAGAGCGCACGCCAAGAATTTTCTATCGACGTTTCCCGGCGGTGCTATACTTCTTGCCGTGGCCTGAAATTACGCGAGCATGCACGGGGAACCACATGCGTGACAGACATGCCCGAGGTCCTCCGGTGATGGGACGACGATTGTGTACACTCTTACAGCATGAAAGACACAGCCGCGGAAGAGGAAAAAAGGGGGGAAGAAACATTTCGTAATTAATACACCGTTTTTGATCGGTCTCTCTTCTTTTCTGTATCTCTGTCGAAGATGGGGGACAATCGCCTCGTATTTTCGCGTCATTTCATATCCGTAGATTTAAATAATTCATGAGTTGACGTGCAAATGAATTTTATTATCAACAAAGATATTTTTATTTTCGTATCTTCGTAACTGTATCGATTTTTCACATTTCTCTCATTCTCTTTTTCTTCCTTCTTTCTTTCACCTCTTTTTTTCTCTCGCGTTTGACTTTCGTCTACCTCACGTGCTCAGTTTCGCACCTATGCGCTTTCGAAGAATCGAGTTTCAAAAGAATGGTCGTTAGAGACTCTCCACACACACACAATAGCAACCGCGGGTAATTAACTTCCTGACCGGATCCAGCGTTGCCTCGACTGAACCTAGAGCGGGGATGTAATATTGTGCAAGAATGTGCTTTTGCGCCATAAATTGAACGCGAGCCTCCTTTTTAAAATTATAAGTTAAATCAAATTTTGCAATAATCCACAAAAAATAATTGTGGCAACAATTTCATAATCTTAAAACATACGAATCGTATAAAAATGAAGAGAGTTATAAATAGCTAGCGCTAATTTCATTTTTTTGCGACAATTGCAACAGAGAA